AAAGTAAGTACTTTGGAATTCCTGGCACGGACCCGCCAAGTAGTACTGGATAAGGAATCAGCTAAAGTTTTATTAATTAGTAAATAACCATTAAATCATAATCAACTACGAGAAGCAGTAGTAATATAAAAGAGTAGTGAAAATGTTATAGGAAATTTTTAAAATACAATTAAAATGATGGGCCAGTGCTAGATCATATAATAGGCAAACATGTTGTAACTTATGTACTTGGCCTCAATAATCTGATATCAATGCTTTTTATTAGAAGAATACACAGCACTCCTGTACTTGGCGTAGTTTTTTACACGTAAGTGTTTTTTGGGGGATCAACTCGACGCACGATATCATCCGAGCTACATAAACTGGTCTACGCGTACCGAGTAACTATGACAGAGACCTATGAACGACAGAGCACCTGCAACGCACCACAACTCGTGAAGGAGGCCCACCACTATCGACGAAAGGAACGAAGACTCACGAATTGGGAATCCGATTTCTGATTGGGGCTGAAAGACCAATTAGAAGTGGTTGCGAATAACGGAGAGGATAATCGTCTGCGGTGCTGCCAATTACGAATGAAAGGGAAGGCTAATTCCATCTTCTTGCCTGGACTGTCGACGACGCGAGTCGTGTTTTTGGAACCGTTTTGTTTTCGGGGTTCATGTCTGTGGAGAATCCAGACTTCGTCCGAGGCCGCGTGTACGGGCTACATTCTCCCGATCGAAAAGACATAAAGATTTCGGTAAGCGATTTGTTAATTTTTGTGAGCGACGAAATCTCGTAACACCCCGCGTTTTGTACGTTTTGGAATTGTGCATGTAGGCACGTGGGAAATGTTCCCACTTGCAGAATCGCGTTCGTTTGGAGTCCGAGATTCCGCCGACCGACAAGGGACTGTGTTCGCGTAAATGTGTTGCCCATTGTGGACATATTTATCGCGCGTTGTTTTGTAAATCGAAGAGCGTAGGATTGTGAGCGAATGATTGGTTCTCTCGGCAATGTTGAGTCTTAGATCTCCGAATTTTATTGTATCGCGTTCCCGTTAGGGACGTGTTGCCGAGAAACACGAAATAGTCCTTGAGGTTGTGTTTTTCGAAGTGTCGCGATTAGATCGCGTTAAATTGTCGACTTGACTCAAATATTGAGAGTATATGTAATTGAACCGATAGCGAATTGTCCGGAAGAAGTAGAATTGTCAAAATGTTGAATGGTGTCGAACGGTATGAAATTATTTATTGAATGTTGAAAGTATCGAAGTTTATCGTATTGTACGACTGTATTTAGCGAACTGTAAGATTCGACTGCACGGAACAGATCGCGAACTTTGTTCGTAGAAAATCGGATTAGGACATGAGTTAAAATTGATATTGTCATTCATTGTTGTTTTAGTCGCGATCTTATTGGGTCCATTATTTATTTTCGAAATTGTTAAATTTAGATTTTGTTATATCCGCGTGGTCGCGTCCACAAATTGGCGCACAAAATAAACGATCGATTTTGTTATTGTTGACCCAAAAAGCCGGAGTATTCATTTTATTGAAGTAGTCATTATTCTTGAAGATCCCCAGAGGCGTCCTCCGCGGTGCTGAGTTAGCCAATAGAGACTCGAACGACCGAATAGAACCGAAGTATACGTGGTTCCCGTTTTGGAACCTGGCGCCCAACAATACCATAGGGATTATTTCGAATTGTATGTGTTAGCCCTGGGTCCTAGAAATTTGTAGATTCTTTAAAAATACCAACCAAAACCAAATTTTTTATCACAGTATTAAATGTACAATCACATTAAATCAATCTGGAGAGGTGTTTAATCTTCGACAAAGGGTTGAACAAGCAAATCGAAAATTCCGAGATTGCTCATTATAAATTTGTGAATTAGTACATATACAGGGTGTTCGTTATGAAACGCACTGTAGTAACATCGTTGCATTCCTTGTCAAATTCTAAAGAATACGTGTATTTTCATTTCTTATTTCATATATCAAAAATTCGAGATAATCAAGGTTGAAATTGCAGTAATGCGACCAATCAGAACGCGTTTAACGGCGCGTAAATGACGTCGCAAGCCAGCCCGCAAGGCCTGCTTACACTAGGCCAATAAGACTAAGAGTATCGTCGTAGTGTTCCGGTTTATCTGCATGTAATTGAGTAAGATACAAGAGACGATACTTTTAGTGTCATTGGCCTAGTGTAAGCAGGCCTTGCGGGCTGGC